ATATATCACGTTACTACTTTTGCCACTGTTGGATCAGTGGCAAAAAATAATAATAAAATCTTATCTTTAAAATAAAACTCTTATCTTAAAATATATTTACACTAAGAAACATATTTATATACACAAATATATATAAATATTTAATATAATATATAGATATGTACATTTGTAAAAGTTAAGACCACACCGTTTGAAAATTTTGAAAAATTTTGTAAGGTTAAGTTATGTATATTACAAGTTTGTACTGTTCGTACACACACTGTATATATCGCGTTCCATTTACTGTGGCAAACTGTGCTCGAGTGTGTTAATCTGTGTCGATTTGTGTCCCTTAAAAGGAAAGCAGCCCTTATGTAAATGGGTACGTTCAGACAACTCAACAGTTGAGAGATCATCACTTATGATAAGACTATTCTTCAAGATCTGCTGCGATTCCAAAAGTATGATCCAATCAGAAGTGATTATCTCTCAACCGTTGTGCAACTGTTGAGTTGTCTGAACGCACCCAATAGGTCTTTATAGGTAAGTTCCATTTGCTGTTTGCAACGCTCATGGAATTATTTCATCCTTGTTTTTCATTGAAAGTTGAACAAAGATTGGTAACGCTCACGAACGTTGCGAACGGCAAGTGAAACAACTTATCCTATGTAGATAGAGATGCGTTCTGTTTTCTGCATTGTGCGCACATTTATTCATAGTTCACGTCACGTATACTATAGATCATGCGCGCATATGCACGAAACGGAACGTGTCCTAGGTCTTAACATGTATTTGAGTCACGTAGTGAACGTAAGCCGCGAGCCGCCGAGTCGATGCTTCTCTTTCCGCTATTCAGGTCGGCGTCCATTTGCAATTTCTTGCTGGTTTACACGAGCGTCTTTCATTGATAAGCTGTTTTTTTATCCATTCATTTATCGTAAGTATGTTTACTAATAAAAAAGTTTGTGTTTTAAGGATTTCGTTTTATCTTTCGATTATTCCTGAAAAATATTTGAGATGGAGGAACTATGAATAGATATTTCTCGTAGAACTTCGGGATATAGATCTGTCGTTTTTTTGGAAATTTTATTGTTCTCGTGTAAAAACTCATTTATATTGCAATTTTCCAATATATTCGCGTTTAGAACAAAAAGTCTAATTGCTCTTCTTAAATGTCTTTATAAAAGAATTGTGTGTTACACCGCATTGGGTATTTTTATAAAAGTATACCTGAAAACTGTTGCTAAAGTTTTATAGAAGTACAATTTATAAAACACAAATTTTCTTTATATTTTATCAAACAGTTTTTTTTAGACAATATTTCTTAACACTCTTAGATCTTTAAGTTTAATCTTTCTCTAAAAAATATTGCATAATATACTTTTATACAAATGTACTTAAAAAACTCCAAATTTTTATTAATGCACAATTTACATGAAAAAAAAAGGAAGCTTAAACAATGGACGGAGGCCCTGGTGGTAGAGGTGGATTTCGTGGTCGTGGAGGTCCTGGAGGAATGATGAGAGGACGAGGTGGATTTGGTGACAGAGGAAGGTAAACATTTTGTACTTAAGTAAATATACAATAAAAAGTTATAAGCCCCTTGCACAATGGAAGGAATAGCGATAGCAATAGAAATAACGCAGTTTTAGACACAGAATTCCAACTCGTCGGAAATTTTATTGCTATTGCTTATTCTGATTTTCTGATCTGCATTGATACATGTGTATTTTTGTATGTTAGATTCCGCTGTTCCTACCGTTATTTATAAATATAAACTCTTTACAACTGGTAATATTTCTATCGCTATCGCTATTCTGTCTATTGTGCAAAGGGCTGTACACATACATATGTAGATCTTTATATGTAATCAGTTAATGTTATACAATTGCAATAATACAGAAAGTTTTATATTTTTTCTTTAACAGAGGTGGCCCTCCTCGTGGTGGTATGATGCGTGGTGGGAGAGGAAGCGGACCTGGTGGAAGCATGAGAGGAGGTCCGCCAGGAATGAGAGGCAGGGGTGGCCCTCCTGGTCGAGGAGGACGAGGTGGTCACTTTCCTCCAGGGTAAATATATCTTATATTTTATTTTATTATATAAATTTTTACGCTTTATAATTAAGAGACTAAGAGATCAAGAGAAAAACCAATTTAATTTTTTCAAAGTCAGAATTATAAGAGCTATGTTAAAACTTGGTTGTTTTCGTCATTTATAGACCACCAGAACCAGGAATGTCTAGTGGGCCTGGAAATGGTCCACCGCCCCTAGGAATGGGTGGTCCCCCACGCGGAGGCGGTGGGAGAGGTGGAGGAAGCAACAGTTTCCGTAGCAGAGGTAGAGGTGATTTCGGCAATCGTGGTGATAGCCGTGGAAGCAACAATTTCCGAGGCCGTGGTGGTCTTGATCGAGGTAGAGGAGGATCTAGGTAAGATAACCTTAAATTTTTGCAAAGTTTTGAGATACAACAAGTACTTTATACTTGTGATTTTATTATATGTATATTATTATATTAAGTTTTTAAACATTTTTATTTCTTTAGGGGAGGAGGTGGTTCAAATAGAGGCGGACCTAGTCGTGTTGGTGGCTTTGGTGATCGTGGAGGTCGAGGAATTAGCGGTGGCCGAGGTGGTCCAACAAAGCGAGGAGGAGGCCCTCCGAGCACTGGACCATCAAAACGGCCACGTTTCGATCAGCCTTCACAACCATCCAATGGATACGCTACTCAACCCAGGTAAACTTTAAGGACAAACTTAAAAAAAGTATTTTTCAATTATTTAGTTGTACATGATACAATTTTGCTTTATGATGATTTTAGCCAAGGAAGTTACGGCGGTTCAAATAATACTTATGGTGGTGGCCAGCAGCAGCCGCAACCACAGCAAGTAGGAGGATATGGTGGAAGTGGATATGGTGGTTCACAAGGATACCCTCAGTCTTATCAGGGTTATGAAAGCTATCAGCAACCTCCAGATTACGCACAAACAACGGTAAGTGTGAATGAAATTTATGGTAATAATATAACAATTATAGTGCTAAAAACAATTATGACTTAAAGCTCGTTGAAATTAATAACAAGATATATATAAGGCCTTACGAGCCATTCGCAGGATGTTTGAGTAGAACATCCTGCGAATGGCTCGTAAGGCCTTATATATATCTTGTTATTAATTATAATGCTGTTTCTTTTGGAAAAATAGAAATTTTTTCTTTAATATCTTATGAAATTTTAATATTGTTGGACTTATTTGTTTAATATATACATGAAGGTTTAGTCATAAAAATTTTAAATAAACAATACTGTATCTTTTATAAAAGTAATAGGTTTTCTACTCGTTTTTATAATGGAAACGATTTACAATTTATACGATTCCAGGCATATCCATCTGCACCACCAGACAGCAGATATGGCGGAGCGTCGTCTGTTCCAGCAGCAGGTTTCGGTGCTAATGATCCTTACAGTTATGGCAAAGCTCCACCATCGGGTAAGTTGCAAAACAAAGGAAAACGAAAAAAAGATCACGTATATACGCCACGTGGGTTCTATCATTTTGTTTTATTTCTTACAACTTTTGTGTCTTCCTCTTTTGCGACAAGACAGATCGAAAAAAGACTCGATGCACGTTGTTTTTATGTATTTAACCTAGCATATATACCTAGTTCGATTCAATTTGTTTCATATAAATCCTATAAGATGATATTCTCTTTTGTTATTTTATTTTAATTATCGAAATGTTAACATCTGGAGGTATCGAGTTGAATTGAGGTCTAGCCATGTATCAGGACACTGTGTATAGATAGATCATTAATATTACGTGATACATGTTCAGCCAATTACCAGGAGGCAGTGCCAGCCGCGGGGCCAGGGGGTGGGGGCGGTGGTTACGCCCCTGCTAACCCGTATGACGAGCGATCTAATGCGATGCTCCGGGGTGGTTACTCAACGCAACCGTACGGTTAGTTATTTCGTCCGCTCACACCATATACAGCTCATTATCATGCTTTTGTTGTGGCCGTTGGGGCGATCCTTAAGGACACGTTAAACACTGAGTGAAAAAAAAAATTTTTTTAATTTGCAGCGAAGAAACGACTGAAATATTTTATTGCTATAACATCGGCGTTATCCAGTTGTAACAAATTCTGTTGTTCGTTGACCATATATATTACATATTACGATATTAATAAAAATGTCCTTCGAGAAAGATAATAATATTCAATGATCCATAAGTAACTTTATTAAACTGAACATATTTTTCTCAGAAAGTTTGCAACAAATTTGCCTACATATACGTGCACTGTTTTTGTAAAAACTCATCGTCTTCGATAATAAATTCTTAAGGATTGCTCCTCCTTGATGCTCTTGTTTTCCGGATGACGTCTGAAACATTATGTTCCTTCGTAAAAATATGATTTGATTCAGACGAGAAACGATCTGACGATTGTGACAGAGAGGAGCACATTTTGTTTAATCGTGAATCTAGAAACGTGGATAACTTTTGGTCTTCCGGAAGCTCGTACTAATTTTTGTTGTACTTTCGTGCATTGTGTTTCACTCGCGATTACTGACGCAGAAGAGTTGCGTAGGGTTTCACGAATCCCAACATAGCAAGAAATGTAAATATGTGAACGCTTTCATTAGGATATCAGCACTGCAACACTGCCTCCTGCTCTTTCACAATGCAGAACACCAAGTGTGAAATACGAAACACCATATAATATTTGAAGAATGTGCAATAAAACATTTATATGTGTAAAACGATCTTATAGAAAATTATTATTATTATGATCACTTATCACAATATATCTTATTAATGTAATACTAATGTAGTTGTCTTTTAGTCTGTTTGTTTTGTGATTTTTGTCCTTTACTTCAGTAGTGTTTTAGTTATGTTTTCTCATTAACTTATATAATATAATTTTCATTTATTTATTTTTGTTCAAAAAATGAGAAAGTACAGATTTATGTAACATACGTCTGTGCAACAGAACAATACTTTTTTTTATTATATATATCACTTTTTTTTTTATCTGTTCCTCGTCTGAGTCATTTCTTCTTTCTGTGTTTATAACATTCATTGTTGTGAAATATTATCTAAAACGTCGTTCTCTTTGTGATTGCAGATTATCCTAATCAGGACGGTCCGAATCAAGTTTATGGGAAACAAGAATATGGTAAGTACAAATCGCAATACAAAAAAGTCATTCATTGATCACAAGAAGAGAGATGTAGTTAGATTGGAAAAGAGAAATTTTAGAAGTGTTGCAGGATTACGTATTTCAGACTGACACTCTATCGCACATAAGTATGATAAAGAGATAAATAAATAAAAGAAAAACAAACGAGAAATATCAAAGCAATTTATATACAAAAAAGTCAAAGAAGTTTGAAAAAAACCTATTTATCTGATTTCGCAATATTTACATAAGTATACGCATTAACAAAATTACACAGAAACGCGATTACTCATCGCAAGAATATTCGTAATTTATAACCAAGTCCGAAACTAAAGTTTTTACAATTATTTGAATAATCAAATTGGGCAAAACACAAATATTACGATATTTTATCGTGTGCGCGCATACACACTCATAAAAAAGAGACAAACAGGCAAAAAAGTAGCGATATCGTTAGAAGAATTTGTATATATGTATATGTATTTAGGACGCTCTCGATTTTTATATATAATATACATGTAGAGAGAAGAGAGCAGAAATGCAAATTCTGTTTTCCGAGTAATGGAACGGTGGAGCTATGGTTGTTTGCAGGTGGCAGTGCTGGTTACCAAAACGCCCAGTCTCAACGACGTTATTAAAGATATCGACATATAATTAGTTTGTTCATTATATAACTTTCAAAGTAGATAATATTCGTCAATGACGTGTAACCGAAAACATCTTTTTTAAGAAGAAAAGAGAGAAAGAGAGAGAGAGAGAGAAAAAAGAAACAAAATAAGACATGTAATGTGTCTCTCCCAGTGCATGCAAAAATTTTGAGGAGAACTTTTTGTTCTTACTAACACAAAAAAGAGAACACACTAATGACAATCGAAGAATCTATAGGAAAAGCAAGTTAAGATGAGCCTTTCCGAATCGAAAAAATATTAGAATTATATCAAATTATATATCTCGGTTTTCGGAAAGGCTGATCGCGCGCAATGCATAGAGTGTCTCAGAAAGATGGGAGAGAATTGATGTTAGAGATACAAAAATTTTTTAAGATAATGTTTTTTTTTTAATGTAACTTATAAATTGCTATTTTTTATATTTCACTAATTCGACACAATTTTACATAACTGATTTCGTTTCACTCGAGTCAGAACTGACGAGTTTTCATAGTTTCCGATCAATTTTCGAACTTTTCCCTGCGTATTTCTTACATTCTTTTCGTTTCTTTTATTTTAGCTCATGCGTTTTTTTTTATAGCTTAGTTCGACATCGGGAAACAATAACGGCTTGATAGTTCTCAGTAAAGAGATTTTTGAGAACATATCTCTCTCTGTATGTATATTATCCAGTTTCTATATATTACTAAGAAACTTATTCTTTCTATTTACTAAAAAGAAACTTTCTATTACTAATTAATTCCTGTCTATTTGATTAAAAATTTATGTTTTTGCTTATTTAGTTGAGTTAAAAATCAGACTTGTCAGCTCTGATCTGAAGAGAAAAATTACACTGGACAATTGTTTGCAATTTGATTTTGTTATAAAGTGGAGTCAAAGGAATTTTTTAAAAACGTAAACGTAACGTTTATTAAATAATTCTTGAAGAACTTCATACAATTCCACATTATTTTTTCTAAGACGCTCTTTTGCATTATCTTTTGCTTTCAAAAAAATCTTCCATTCCCGTTTAATGTCTTGATAACCGTGCACGTTTATCGATGTATCACTCAATCAATGATATAAAGATATATTTTATATTTGACACTTAGCAATGTACAACACTACGTGTTACTTTTCTACGTCATTCGTACGTAGACGATCTAGGATTAAGTTCAAACTTTGTGAAGAGATTTAATCCTTCTATGATTTCTAGTGTAATTCAATGCAGTAATAATTATACACAACAATGACACAATGCGACAATGACGATATTTGTAAGTGCAAGGACGTTCGTTCCTGTTTTTGTAAATAGAAACTGAAAAAAAAAAAAAAAAAAAAAAAAAAAAAAAAAAAAAAAAAAAAAAAACGAGCCAATAGTTTCCATTTTGTCTGTCGTAATTATAAATAGTCTGAAATGAAAAGCGCAATTTAGCAAAAATATGTGTATTTTGTCTCTCCTCTCGTAAAGGTTAAAAAGAGAACAAACATTTATTTGTGAATTGAATTACAGTCTTTATAAATGAGTTCTCTCTCAAAAATTGATGAATTCTAGCAAGAATAATCGAGAGAAACTTAAATTTTACACCATTAAAAACTTGGTAAAAATTATTTGTTTGATATTTTATTCTAATTGTTATTTACTGAGGTCATTTTATAATTTATTGTACGAGTTTTTGTACTATATATATGAATTTTATAAGTATCTGTAATTCTCTGTAGTTTAAGTGTACAACAATTTACTTCGCGTGTGTGGCTGTGTTACACTGGTGAAGACGTAATCTTTATTTATTAAAAAATGCATACAATTATTTAGTTAAACGAAAGAAATATCCACGCATATTGATGTAGAGGTTGTCTTTCAATAAGCTATTGTGTCAGTCAAGAAGGCGCAAAATAGGATATTAATTGAATATAGAAAAATCTTTTAGTATCACTATCGCGCATATTATTTTATATTAATTAACGAAATTTGCACGAATTACTTTTAGTGTGTTTGTGTACGAAAAATATGTCATACGAATAACTATATAGCGTATCATTGTAATTATCTGGAACTATTGTAAGTATAAGTGCTCGATTGAAATGAAATATTGAAAAAGACAGAAAAAAAGAGATCAAAATGGTGTTACATCGAAGATTTCTTATTATTACCTCACCTGCGGCGTAAGAAAAAAGAACAGACGAGACACGAAAACCAGCAACTGCCCTAGGAAGACAGACTAGAAAGCTTGAATGAACAGAAAAGGGAAAAAGTCGAACAAAGACGTTCCCTCAGTAGTGTAGCAACGAAGTAGGTATGACACACATTTTAGAAAATCATCTTAGTGCAAACCTCTCTGAGTTCACAGAGCCATTTTTTTATTTGCAAATTCTTCGATCAGTTTGGAATCAATTCTAAGAAAATTTTCGAAGTCCAGATATATTTAAATCTTTTTAAAAAGAAATAAAACTGTAACGTTTAAAAATTGATATAAAAATCTATACTGAAAATAATCTATTGTTGAAAAACTTACATTTTGTCAAAAAATTTGTCAAATATTCTAAATAGGCGTCTAATAATTATAGCCATTTCACGACACAAACTAATTGTTTTTCTATACTTTTATTAAAGATGCAAGTATTATTTCTCAGAAATATTGATGTAAGTACAATTACAACACTGTGTGTGTGATGTCTAAGTGAGAAGTAACTAAGGTTTAAATAATTTAATTAATAAAATTGTGAAAAATGAGTTTATTTCACAGGCTTAGCGACAAGCTGAAATACTTTTAGGAAACAATGAAAATCAAAGAGCGAGTGAGAGAGAGATTGAAAACTATCGTCCCTCCAGCAAGAACATATTAAATTTGCTAAAGATCGTTCTCCCCATTTAAGAAATGACCAATCAAGTCACCGTAATCAGTAAAACTAGCATAATGTATTTTTTTTAATTGTTTTTAGATATAGTAATAAATATAAATATAACTTTAATATTAGAGAGAAAACTTGGTAACTCTTTATGAATTTATACGAATACTTCAGGCTTTTTTACTCTACACGTTACATATATACGTACGTAATATAAGATAATTTAACAGTTTTTCAAAATATTAGTTTCTTGTGCACACGAAAAAAAACAGTTAAATTACATATTTTCTCACATCTCAATTAATTTTATTAGTCTATGATAAATATTAATATATACATATATATAGCAAAATAAATGCTACGTGAAAAAATGTGTATGGGACAAAAAGCGAGCAAACAGAGTAATGAAATTTTTAAGAATCACGCTCTATACGTGCGTAATGCAAAATATGCGTAATAAACGAAATTAAATGAAAGTCAAATGTTCGAGTAGACTTCAACCGAAAAAGCTCTCAGGTGAGTAAATACAAATAAATATAATTTATCCGTTCTTTGAAAACCTATCAATTTTCAAAAAAGAACATGTAACATATGTATATTTACATTTGTACATACGAGAGTTAATTAATGAGTATTGTTAAGTAGTAACAGGTAGTATTCTTCGGCTATATTGTTGGATTTATCGAGTGTGAAGTTTTAGCAAAAATACTATATCTATCTGCTCTAAGAAATATACAATGTATATACAACAAGCAGAGTTGCGTTTCTTTATTTTTATGTCTCGTGTAAGATATATATGTGTGTAAAACACAGCCTAAAATAAAACCGTTCGCAAACAAATAAAAATGTACGTAGGATAAGAATGGAAGAAATTCGTGGAATTACAACTTTTTTTCATAAGAACTTGCAATAACAACATATTAAAAGTTGTTAAAAAATGTAAATAAATAATTTTGTTATTTTATAAACGTACAACGGACAGGCGTTAGATTATCTAAAAGAAAAAACCTGAGAAAAATTGTCTAATGACTTTTGACTGCAATGTAGAAATACCTAAATAAATGACAAAGGTGTACAAGGTGTGTAAGAGATGTAAAAAAGCGTAATAATTCACTCGATAATAGACGTAATTTCTCGACAAAACAAGTAATACTCTAAAAATAATAAAATATAAAAACTAAAATAATCGATATAAGACAGATTAGTTTTACAAGTTAATCGCAAAAGAGATTCCGACTCTCGTCTGACTTGTTGCTGTTGCTTTCTCTAGGTTGATCACGACACTACTAAGTGCCAATGGTTGAACATCGTGGCCCACATAAAATCCTCGATAACTGCCACATGACTGGCATCGCAATTTTTCGATGATCGAAGAAACGACGTGCCCGCAATCGCGGTGAGTCCAAGACGAAGATAAAATGTATTAACTTGCAACTTTATCTCACACATATATATATAATTTTATGAATTATTTCCAGATCTCGACTAGCCAACGTCAGTTTTTGACCAGTCGTTTTAACGAAAAAGACTCGAATCAGGTCGGAATATCGTGTCGCACACAAAACATGTTTTTTTACGATATTATTTCTCGTAAGAAAATTTGGAATAATAGTTCTTGACTAATTCTAGTTTGACAAAGACGTACATGTTTCCCTCGAAATTATACAAGTCACACATAATTTTATTTACAAAAACTTTTTATTTTATATATATTAAACTTCTATATTTTTTTATAAACTTTGTAAGATATGTCATAAATTAAACTTTGTTTAAACTTAAAGTCATCTAAAAAGTCTTTGGCTGACATAGCCGAAACAATGTCAATTTGTATAATCTAAACGTATTACGCGAAGTTGCACAAAAGATTGTTTTCACTTACCGCGTATTTCTATTTACTAGTACTCATCGCAGGTGCATTTTATACGCGCTATGTGTTCGTTGTACGTGAATCTCAGGTGTCGTGCTTGTACATCGACGTTGCGTCCGCGTACGACGTCGTTTTTTCTTCATACCAGTCAGATACAGACCAATCAGCGTTAAAAGTTCGGTTATCGTCGTTTTTTTTCACATTCCTAATATTGTAGTTGATACTTTCGGAAGAGACGCTTCTGCTCGATCGAGATTGATATATATATATATAACGATTTGCACCAATATATCGTGGTCGATGATCTTGAGAAAGATTGACAGCTTGTCCACGATCTTACACTCCTTGACGTTTTTTTTGGACAATAAAATTATGATTGGTTCGCGCAGTTGTACAGAGAAGCTTCGTCCAGATGATGACCGCGTCTTTCTCGACATGGTCTTTACATTATTTATCGTTGCGTTGTCTTCCGAAATATTCAAAATCTAAATTGGAATTGTCGGACACAATTTTTGATTTAACATTAACGCACGTCTTTTTTTTTTTTTTTTTAATTGAATATCGGGTCTTCTTCGGAAACTTTCTCTTCGCTGCTTTTGACATTTAGACTCTGATAACTTTGCCGATACGTTGGCTATTTTATCATCGGTGAATGCCTCAGCAGTTCTGGAAGATAATAATGGAAAGTGAAACAAAATTTTTATATCTTATATAAATCTGTAGAAGTGACAAAAAAAAATATATATTTAAAAAGACATTCCGGAGGTATTACAAGCTTATTTTTCTTACTACATATGAACTATTGTACTAATGATTTTTATTACCATTTAGAATAATATTATGTATATCATGTAATAATATCACGAAAAAAGAATAACTATTTGACTTTTATATATAAAATAGAAAAGCTTCACACATACACATTAATTCTTCGTAGACTTACATATCTTCTCCCAGACCCGCTCAAAAATTTGTACATTAGTGTCTTTTTAGTAAAAATTTGTTTTTTTAGGAACTTGTATCTTCGAAATTAAAGATTTTTAAAAATTTGTTTTTTATCGACGCATGATCGTCCAAAAACTTTTGATTAAAAAAAAATAAATAATATTGAATTTTTCGCGGAGATGTTAATTTTAAAGTCGCGTGGATCTCACAGATCAAGTTAGTCCAGAAGTTACTCATGGAACAGGTGCTCTAAGCAAGTCGCTTTTAGAGGGGAGGATTTTGTCCAAAACAAGATGAGGTAACACGTGACTATTATGTCTACATCTGCGGCAGCCAATGAGGAGCGTGGACACTTTTTGCGTACTTGTCCCTTAAATAACCTGTGTGTAAGCGTCTCAAAACTGAACATTGTGCGCTACGCTTCAAGAGCAGCTTTAAATATTCTGCCAAAAACTTGCGTGATATTTTTACATACATCCAAGTAAGTCAAGTATATACAAGATATATATATAACATTTTGTTATAACTGTATTTTGTAATGCTTTTATTGTTATTTTTCATTAGTAAAAGTAAAAAAAGGAGAAAATAATACAGGTGCCATGGACAATATTAATATAAATAATAAACTTTAACACGTTCCGTGCCATGTAGGTCGTGTACGCTCCACGCTGAACTTTCCATTCAAACTACTTCGAAATTTTCCTTATTAAAAATAGCAAATTTTGAAAAAAGTTTTTGTAAAATTATGTATTGAGATGTTTTAAATATCATATATAGCACATCTTAAATTTTACACTTTTTTCTTGATAATTATGATTTTTGCAGTATTGTAAAGTATCAATCGTGATAACGTGGAGTATACGACCTACGCAGCTAGAAAGGAAAGTCATCAAGGGTTTGATTTGGTGCCCTTATGGCTCAGTGGACCTGTTAAACGAAACGCATTTTTTGAGTTTGCTGCAAAACAAACCGCGACTGCTTATCAAAAGCATAGATCGCTAAGTGGCATTCAGCAGAAAATCTTGTAACAGTTGCAAAGCAGCTTCCTTCCGAACGCAGCCATTATCTTACACATATGCGGACACTCACGCACATACACATGCACACACTGATATACACGCATATCTTTGCTTGCCTCAAGTATAAGTACATAGACTCGCTATAGATCCGGTCTCGGGGGCTGTAGGAGCTGAAAATTCTCGGAAACGAATCTATAGCTGGAGCCTCGATCCACGAGACTATCGAGTATCATGGAAGACAGCAGCGGACAAAATAAAGCGGCCGCATCTACGACTCCGCGCAGGCAGACATAGTAGGGAAGTGACTTGTGTGTGCGTGTAAGTACGTGTGGCGAGGAAGACGCTCAGGTGGACTTATAACTGGCGGATCTATAGCGAGAGTCTACTGTAGCATCATAAATCGATATCACTACTGCATAAAGTATGGAAATCGTAATTTTAGGTTGGTATTCATAGTCGGATCTTATATTTAAGATTATCTTAAGTTTATCTTCGATGGTGTACGATTCGAATGGTGTACGAGTAGTTTTATTGGCTACATCTGAAGATAAACTTAAAATGATCTTACCCAGATAGCCAAATGTAAAAACTCAATATAAAGCAAATCATTGTATAGATTAAGTTGCTCGCCAATTGCTGTTGTGTTGTTTTTCTTTAAAGCAACGAAAATGTTTTTGTCAATTCAGTATCAATATGCTGAGTTTTACTGTCAATCAATTGTTGTAGCCAATGTTTATGACAAGTGAGTGAGCAATATGTGGGCAATAATTTTTATTCATAAGTTGAGAAAAATAATATAAGTTTATTGCCGATGAGATGTTGGGAACTTGCTGTTATTATATTTTGAAAACTGTTGCTGGTAAGAACATACTGAGAAGAGGATACACTCTTTTGTTACATTGCTGAAAACATATGAGCAATATTTGTAGCAAGTTGCCAACAATTTGCACTCAGTTGGCTATCTGGGTAAATATAAGATTCGATTATAATTACTCTGCCTTAGGGTTCCATATCTCGAAATTATATAATATTGTTCACCGGACTTTGTGCCCACTGACTCTTTTGTTCTACGTGTTGAGAACTATAATGTAACAAAGTTTCAGAAAAATTACCCGAAAGCCGTTTTCCATAAGAATCCTGCGGAGTTCTTTCAATAAAATGTTCCAGAAAATATAAAAGTATACGTGTGTGTATGTATGTGTATACACATATTGCTTTTTTACAGTTTTCAGAAATTTCGGTGTCTGTCAAAATTGATGACAAACCGTAAATTTGTTTTCAGTTTTGGCCGAAAGTCGAAACTGAAAAAGATGATTTCGATCAAACAGTACCAAATTGTAGAGTTTTTTTCAGCGCCATCTGGTGCAGTCTTCTTTAAATTAAAACGGACATGAGCGGGAGATCGAATGTGACTGATTCGAGAGATATTGATATTTGTTCGAGCAAAATGAACAGAAATATCAAAAGTTGCTACATACGCAGCTTAGAGAAACCCTCGTTGAATATTTATTTACCAGACAACGAGCCAATTTTCGTAGGACGTTCGCTGGAAATCGACATCCAAGACACAAAATGTTCACGACAGCAAGGTCTCGTATCTTTCGAGTTTGTTTACAATTTGAACATACGTTTAATTAATGATGATTATACAATATGAATTACATTTAAAGTATCACGTTTAAGCAAAAAAATCGTATTTAAACAGGAATATTAAATATTTGTTTTTAGCTAGAATATTTATATTTTATAATAGTGTGATTAAACATAAGCAACTTATATGAGAGTGTTAATAAACTATAATATAATATATGTATCTAATATAATATATGTATCTAATTCTTCAGATTATAAATAAATTAATTTGTTTTTAACAGTTCGTTTATGCGCAAATTATGCAAAAGCCATTGTCACGGTTGACCAAATAGGCACACATGCTTCTGGCCTTAATGGCTTTAAGATGGAACAAAATGTAAGATTTGTGGCTAAACATACAGATCATGTGGAGCTGTTATACGGAAAATATGCTTTTGAGATTGAATTCAATCCGCCTCCGCAAACAGAAGATTCTGAAAGAAAACCGAGATTTTACAAACTGGAAGAAATAGATGTGGATGAAGCTAAACCTAACACAAAAATGTTGGAACTGCATTACAATTGCTCAGATAAAGAACTGGATAATAATAGAAAAGAAAAAGAATGTTCTTCAAAGGGTGATGATTCTACTCAGACAACTACTGCTGTCGACTCTCCTATTATAACTGAATCAAGCGATAATGCAGAATGGGAGAGTATTGATGGAGGAAAACTATTGATTTACACGCCATCATCTGTACAAAATCAGGGCCTAGTAATTATTTATTCAAGATTTTTCAATATAAGTTAATTGTCTATTTAATATCTTTTTACGTATTTGATACTTAAGATTTTAGAATAGTATTTTTGTTATACATATATAAGCGAGCAATGTTAAAAAAATTTTGATTTTAAGGTAGCTGCATATGCTCTGGATAATACTTTAATAAAAATCAAGTCTGATCTTGAATTTCCGAAGGATCATGACGACTGGGAATTATTATATCCTCATATACCTCATGAATTAAAACAAATTTATGCGTGCGGATACAAAATAGTGATTTTCACAAATCATACCACTTTGAGCTCCGACAAAGTTAACATCAACAATTTCAAACAAAAAGTCGAGAATATCGTAAAGAAAATTGGCGTTCCTATCCAAGTAAGATTGTTGTATTATTATATTGTACTTTGAACAAAATTTTGAGAAACAATTTTTTACTTTTTTATTGTTCTTAGGTTTTTATTGCTACAGGATACAGCGTTTATAGAAAACCCGGAATCGGTATGTGGAAATATTTGCAAAACAAGGTATATACATATACATATATATATATTATCCTTAGTTAAAATATCCTATCTAGCATATCTCGGAAGAATCGAAAAAGCTAAAGTGTTAGTCTTTTGTGCTATCAGCAGTTAGGACAACTAAGTTAGACACTTTCTAGACGTTTATAAAGCCTTTAGGACTTTCTAGCTTCATTTAGAAGATAGAACATGTGTAGAACTTCCAATATTTCAATACATTTTGAAAAATGCAAAACTGCGAGATAAGACATTTTACCTAAGGACAGCAGTATATATATATATACTTTTTTCCTTTCCGCGGAGCGGAAGGAAATGAACCAAATTTATTATAGAGGTATTTTTCGAGTTATAAAGGTTCGAGTTATCGAGGTTTGACTATATATATATATATATATATA